CCTCTCTCGTTCTTAAGGTACAATACGACTCCTTTGATTTCCTGAATTACATAGGGGTCTTCAAATTTTGGAGCTAACTTTGCCGTAAAATTGTCTGGGGCACTTGATAAAGAAAATTTCCTCTTCAATACTTTATCCCCGACTTTAAAATCTGCTTCACGGCGTTTTCCTATCATAATACAGTTTCTGTCTTATTTCTTGCCGTATCCGAGCTTTTAAGACGCCTGATCAATCAGTTTTTGCACATCTTTCTGTTTAAACTCTTGCTCTCTTTGTTGCACAAAGAATAATTTATCTAAAGGCGTAATTAACTTTCTGCCTAAAAATAATTCTGCTGGGGTTTTTCCCGTAGTATCGTGATTTGCCGTTCTTAAAGCATAAGCTAATTCATTTATGTAGCCATCCCAGCGCTTGTGATGTGTGCTAACGTAACTTGCGAATTATTTTTACAATGTTTTTATTAACTCTTTCTGCTATGTTTGCCTGTGGTCTATACGGAACCATTTTGATATGGTGTATGCCAAGTCCAGTGCATATGTTTTCAAATATTTGACTAATGAATTGTTTTCCGTTATCGCTAATGACTTTTATCGGTGCACCGTATTTTAAAATGTATCTGTGTAAGAATGCATCTGCGTTAAACTGTTTTGGCTGACGCGCGTTTAAGTGGAACAATTTCTGTCCATTTTGAAAAATGATCTACAATTACTAAAAGAAAACGATTTTTATTTAACTCGCTCTGGGGAAAGGGACCAAGAAGATCTATGCCTAAAATTTCATTCGGAAATGTAGCGCGAATGCTATTTAAGTACCCGGCCCGGGCTGTAATTAATATCATTTATTAACTGACATTGATTGCAGGACCTGACATACGCAGTTACTATTTTGTATAATTGCGGGTAAATATACCGCCTCGCGTACCCTTTTTATAGTCTTTCTGACCCCTAAATGACCCGCTGTTTTCGCGTCGTGTAATTCCTTCAAAATGCTTAATCGAAGCGAGGCTGGGATGACTGGTTTGTACTCGAAGATTTTCGTTTGTTGTTTTCGTATAAAATAATAAATTATCTATTATTTCATAGTTTTCTGCTCTATTTCTTATCGCATCGATATCTGTGTGCTCAAAGCTTTCGGGGTCTTTCAAATATGCATAGATATTTCCAAATTCAGGATCAGCTTTCAAGTTCAGTGCAATAATCGTATCTCTAGAATCTAAAATTTTTAAAATTTTTTTGAAACAAAAGTCAACACAGCGCATTTAAGTTCATTTCCTTCATCGTCCAGTTTTATACGAGAAAGTGCGTCAGCTACATTGTTTTCCTTACCCGGTTTATATTTAATTATGAGATTATATTCTTGGAGTTTTAAAGCCCATATCTTATTAACCTGGGCGTTAGGTTTTTCCCCGAGTAAAGTCTACCAACAGCCGCATGATCCGAAAAGACTGTTACTGGCGCTTTGCCGAAATAAACTCGAAATTTGTGTACAGCCATTAATACGGCTAATGTTTCTCTCTTCTGTAGCTGTATAATTCCTTTGTGTCTAGATTCAAAACGTTTTACTAAAAAATGCCAGAGGATGGCTATTTGCATAAGAACCGCACCCACCGCATAGTTCCGACGCATCTGCTGCAATTTCCAGGTTTTCGTCCCCCTCCGATAATTTCAAAACAGGGGCATTGATGAGCGCTTCTTTTAATCTTTCGAATGCGGTATTTGCTTCCGCTGTCCACGTAAATTTACTTTTCTTTCTTTTAATTACTAACAGTGGTTCAACAATATTAGCGAAATCTTTTATGAAAGCCCGATAGTAAGAACATAACCCAACGAAAGAAGAAAGTTTCTTGGCGGTGTTGGGCGGTGGGAAATTCTTGATTGCTTTTATTTTTGAATCTTGCTTTTCTATACCCTTTTTCGAAATTTTATAACCGAGATATTTAAGTTCTTTAGTTGCGAACTTGCATTTTGAGGCATTAATTGTAAGACCGGCCTCTTTTAATAATTTAAAAACATCTTCTAGATCTTTAATATGTTGTTCCAACGTACTACTCGTTATAATTATATCATCTAGATAGATTAAAGTCGATTTTCCTAGGACAGGCTTTAGAACAATGTCCATAGCTCTCTGGAAAGTTGATGGGGCCCCACACAACCCAAAGGGCATGCGTAAAAATGCATAAGTGCCCGATTTTGTTATAAACGCGGTTTTATGTATGTCTTCGGGTCTCATAGCTATTTGATAGTAGCCAGACGTTAAGTCCAAAGTAGTCATGTATCTAGCAGATTTGATCTTTCTAATAATTTCCTCTATAACCGGCAAAGGGTAAACTGGGAATTTAGTAATACTATTTAGTTTTCTGTGATCGATAGCAAACCTCCAAGCCCTTTTATCCGAAGGAGGGAAACTCGTTCTTTTTCCTACATAGTACGACTGGACTCGCGTACTCACTATTTATGGGCGTTATTATTTTATTCTTTAACATCTCCTGAATATGTTCTTCGATGATTACGTTCTTTTTGTTTATCATAACGGATACGGTTTAGTCCTACAGGGTTTTTCGGCAGGTTAACTGTATATCATGCGTAACTATTTGACAGCTACCAGGCTTTTCTGAAAACACTTTTAGAAAAAATACTCACCACTTGCTGGATGGCTTGGCTTTCATGGTCATTCAAATGGCTAAGGTCAACTTGCGGTTGTTTCCACAGGTTCCACCACCCTCTGGTCCATCTCCAGCACAACAGAACTGTCTTGAAAATTCAGTTTGGCCCTCGCGGCCCTTAAAAACTCCATACCTAAAATAAGAGGATTTTGCAGATTCTTCACTACAAAAATTAATACTTTGAGGCTTTCCTCTTTTACCTGTATGTTTAATGATAATTTCCCGATGCAGTGACAGGTTTTTCCTTGCGCCGCTATAATTTCCGTATTTTGTTTTTAAATAATCGTAACCTATGAAAATTCCTTTTGAAGAATGTTTCGCTCATAAAATTACCTTCTGCTCCTGTATCGATGAGGGCTTCTACTGGTACATCGCCAACCAGGACTTGTATAATTGGTAGATGTGAGTTTTTTACGATGACCGTATTTAAATGTCTTTTTGAGGGTTTTTTTAAAACTTCCGGGGTCTGGACCCTCGCTTTCACAGGCCCCTCTACTCGTTTAAAGCTTTCCTTTCAACTTCTGCCTTCTAGGTGCGCGGATGTTTGTTTTCGAATTTCCTTTTTGGGCCTTGACCTTCGAGGTTCGATGAGTTAGCTTGATAGCTCTTTCCCCCATAAGAGCGGTTTGCCTTTCTGGTCTGCTCATTTGAAGATTGCTCTCGGGTACTTTGAGAATACGTTGCCCCTCTAGCTTTTTCCGCTATTCTGCGATTTTGAAACTTCACCGCCAATTCGAAGAGCTCCTGCAATGTGCTTGGGTTACTAATTTCGAAGTAGTCTTGAACAGCAGGTAACAATCTTGGTAAGATTATTTCAATAATCTCCGCGTCGGGTTTCTTCCCATACAGCATATTCGTCAGCTTGATTTTTCGCAGAATAAAGTCCGTCAACTCTTCTATATCCCGTTGATAGAAACTATATAGTTCGGCTTCTAGCCTTGCTCGATCTTTCACTATGGGAAAGGCCTTTACTAACGATTTTTTGAAATTTTCAAATGTATATGTCTGGCTTCCAAATTCCCCTAATAAAAATTTGCCTATATTCTTCCACCATAGCGCGGCCTGTCCTCTTAGTGCAGATGTGGCGATGGCAACTTTTTTATCTTTCAGGCACAGGGTAGAGCTGAAAATGATTTTCTAGGCCTTCTAAAATATCGCCACCGAATTTTTTCCGTCGAAATTGACGTTTGGCTTTGATTGACGCTCTCAAAGTCTGGACCAGGTATCCAAATCCTTCTCCTTCCAATTGGCAAAAAATTGGTTGCCATTTCTTGTTGTTGTTGTCCCAGCGGCTTCCATCCGATTTTCGGCCATTTCAGTTCGACAAGTGTTCGGGCGCCAATGTAGAGTTGCGCGCCTCCAACCTGCACGCAACCAAGAGGTGACTGTTGAAACTGGAATTTAGACAGAGTCTTGCTAAGGGTTTAAGTCCCTTTTTATTCAACTTAAGAAATTACAATTGCGTGCTCTTGACGCTCACAAACTATGCCGACCCGGCGGTAAAATAAAAATAAGAACCTGAAAAAAAATAATAACAAGACTCTAACTACGAGGCTCTCTAAAAGTAACTAACTCTCTAAAAGTAACTAGTTCCGCGCTCGTGAAGTAAGAACAGCACATCTCGAACTCGTTTCCTTTCTATTTAACTCAGAATACTTCCGCTGATAATTTGAATCCTTACGCGTTCTACTAAAATTTACATACTCTGGCATTGGCAGTTCCAGGGGAAAGTAAGGCTTGACAGGAAAGATAGTTTACACTTAAAATAAATGTTAGTTAAAATAAATATAAACCCTACAAATTTTTTCCGCTATTAAATATTTCTCTAGTAGAAGACAGCATTTTTGATTTATAATATTTTTGTCATATTGTTTGATGTACTCAGAAGTATCGACGACATGATAACTGGAGGCATAGAGTCGAAATGTTGGAATAAACTGGCAGTTCATTACAGAAAAAGTCCAAGTGTGTATCAAAATACTTATATTAGAGCAATTGCTATATATAAATCTAATATATATCCAAGGACACGCTTTGGAGACATGAAAAATGCAAATGCAAGTTAAATGTTTTGCAAAGTTTTTTCAAATGCAAGTTTTCGAGAAATGAAAAATACAAACTAGCACAAACGTGTGCTTACTATCTAACAAAAGTTTCTAGATTTCTCTATATAAATGTCTTCCTGTTATGAAACGTATTCTTCTTATATCTGAGTGTTAAATCTCATTTTATGCCTTATTTTAATGAACCCATGTACGTTGATACATGCTTTAAAAACAGATAAAAACTATATAAAATGTTAATTCTCTGTTTTTTTTTTTTGTTTTCTATTACACAGGTAGAGTTGCAATGCCTAAAAAGAGAACAGAATGAACTGTCCAGAAAGCTTCAAATACTAGAAGACAAAGGAGAAGCATTGAAGGCTCAGTCTGAGAAGTTTAGACAGGAAGCATACGTGAAAGAAGGAGATCTTTCATTGTTACAAAAGAACCATTCAGAAAACATGAATATGATTGATATATTGGAAAAACAGATTAAGAAGTTAAGAACTGACTATAGATTCACAGAAGCGGTATTTGTTGTTTACTTTGTTCTATTTTTAAAATATATTTTTAATCCAGAATATATTTCTGATTTTGGGTTTTTATCGCATAGTTAAGGAATGAAGTCAGAGGCGATAGATGCCAGTTAATTTAAATTATTCTATAATAACTTAAATTTAAGTACTTTAATACAAAAGTTCAGTCTTTTACAGCAAGTAAAAATATTACGAGTTCAAATTTTTTTTTAAAGATACTTCTTTTCAAAACTTATAGAGATATTTTTCACTTACCTAAGGTGAGAAGTATAATAATTCATGAACTACACTCCTGTCAAAAAGTAAGCAACAAAGGAAAAACACGGAATAAAACAAAAACTATTTAATAGAAATGGGAGAAACTAATGCAAGAGGTTGGTATGGCATTACTAGACCACACAACAAACAATAAAGCAAAGACCAAAACAAATAATAATAATAATAATGTATTACGATCATTATATCGCGAAAGACTAAATGGGTCGGAAGAATGTGCAATGGAAATTCCACGCTAATAACGGGTACGATACCCTTTAGCTGAAATGCATGTTTGCCAACGGTGAGGCAAGTTGGCAATATTGTCGTTAATCGCTTGTTATGGCAGTAATGCATGTAGTAGCTCGTACAGTAGTAATGCATGTAGTAGCTCGTAGAGGATGCCGTCGTCCCAACATGCCCCACGCATGCCCTATAGGATTCAGGTCTGGTGATCTAGTAGGCCACGGCAGATGTGGAATTGGTTGTGATGTGCAGATGTGGAATTGTTGAATGTACAGATGTGGAATTGGAATGGTTTCACCCTCCAAATAACTCCGCACCACCTAGAGCTCCATGCGGGCGGGTATTTTCGTCCATGTCCCGTCGGTACCCATTGCCATGATTAAAGAACGCAAAAGAGGGTGTAACATGTCGTCGTGATATCGGACGGCTGTGACGGAACCACCAGGAATCACGTAGAGGTCGGTACTGCCGTTCGTTGTTATCCCAGCCCATACAAGTAAGCTTTTCCCTCTGCAATGGTCTCTTTCGACGATGTTCGGCGCCCGATAACGTGTCCCTGGCTGTCTCCATATCATTGTGTTTCGGGAATCGTTTTAGATGTTAAATCGAGACTCCTCGATAAATAGTATGTGGCCCCAGTGCTCTTGGGTGAGCCAACTGGCTTTGCATTGCGTTGTGTTTCACGTTGTTAGTAGTCTGAAGTGGTAACTACTGATTGTTCCCTGGTATACTGAGAAGAGTCTAACAGATGTACGAGTGCTTTTGTGGAAAGTTCCAGAATTGTAAAGTATTTCTTTTGGGAAAATATATTTCATCAAACTATCATCAGTTATGTACGCAATTCAATCCATTACGAGCCCGTACACACGCAACATCTTTACACGTCGCATTCTGCAGTTCACTAAGAGGCCGACTAGTTAAGACCGCTGAATACTGGTAGTCTGACTTGGTTTGAGCTCAATTTCAGATGAAAGAGTGGCTGTATGGTTGGTTTTCACTATATATAGCATGAATGCTAGCCAGTTTACCCTAGAAATTTCTCTACGAAGGCATCTTTCCTCTTATACATATAGTCCTCTGGTTTTGATATATTCAAATAATCTAACCCTGCAGATCACTTGAGCAGAACATAATTTATGCAAGTCCACAAAATTTAGTGAGCAGCAGCGTGCGCATGAAGCTTAGAAAAAAGGCGAACTAGTTATTTAAAAATACATAAAGATTTAAAAATAACGCTGAAACACTCTATAAATAGGTTGAAAATATATTTAAAAATGACATTCGGGGTACAGTGCTCTTTTAAGATTTTTTAGAATTTCAAATGCTGTTTCTTAAAGCAAAAATTTTAAATAATAAAATGGTTGCAAATCCTTAATATGCATTATCTAACACCATTTATTAAAAATGTAGTCATTTATTGAATTTAGTAATTTTGGTTGCCAAAATATGTACTTTCAGTCACATATGCAATATTTATTTATAATGTATATTTATGTTGTTCACCAGTACGAAATAAATAAGCAGATAAATTTTAGACCATTCCATTCATTTAGAGACAAATAACTTTTGCTACTTAATATTTTTAAATGCTGTTAAATTTTTCTCAGAAAATTTCATTTTTGTAATCGAAAAACTTCTAGTTTAGCAATTTTTTGTAATTACTTATAGAAGTTAATTTCAACTGACGTTCTTTTCAAAGCATAGAATCAGATCTATTTTTTTAATCAATCTAAAACTAAAGATTGGGAAACTTTTTTTGCTTTTTAAAGGGACTTGATTACTCCCCCCCCCGAATTTTATAAAAACAGCATTCAAATGATCGACATCCTAGTGCATAATACATGAATAAAACTGCAACCTTTGAGAATATATGTAGATTTTCGTTTTATGATGTAAAATAGAATAAAGTATACTACAAATAACATGCTAGGATAGTAGTTAGCTATGCTGACTGCCGTACCGCAGGTTCCGAGTTCGAATCCGGAGAAAGCATGGTAAATGTATAGTGTCTGTGCCGCATGAGGGCACTCTAAATATGTGGTGAACCGAAAGTCCTTTCGAAAGGTTGGTAATAGGGGAAGAAGGTAGGACACCCTCGGACCCGTTTTTTCCCTGGGTGCTCTACTACAAAACTAGGGGGCGGAAATGAGAAAAGTCGATTGTTACCTGTATGGTGCTCAAGGCTATTGACAGACGCAAATTCGCCTTCCTGCCACGATGAATTACATGGGTTTGCTCTGATATCGGAGAAGCGAGATTAGTCACAACAGCAATTATAAATAACATTAATTACGAAAACAAGAGGGGTTATTAATTCATTTACTTTTAATATTTCATCGACGCTCTGAGCGCTCTCTTTCAAGATGGCGCGTTGCGGCATTTTGTGACTTTACAAAATCAATCACTAAATAGTCATTAATGCATTTCGATGCTGAGCGATGTAGGCGTACGAAACGTATGAATACTTAACTTTCGATTGCAACTACATTTGATGTGCAGTAAACCACGAAGGGAAAATATTTATATCATATACAGTGGATGGACAAAAATATGGAAACACCTTGTGAAATGCATGTTTGAAAAGAAAGATTGATTTTAATGAAATATGTAGGTGGCGCTGGCGTTTTTGACTACTGACGCGTCCTATACAACTTCGTAAGTGTGCTAAACAGTTCAGTTGTTGTCGGAGTACTGTTATGTGAGGTTGTCATTGCATTATGTCAGAGTTAACAGACTTCGAACGTGGGCAAATTGTTGGAGCACGTATGGTAGGTGCTTCCGTAAGCAAGGTAGCCGAGGTGTTTAGTGTTTCAAGAGGTACTGTATCGAAGATTTATTCCGCAAATTTGAAAAGCGGAAAAACATCATCTGCTAAATCACAGCGCGGACGAAAGTGTGTCCCGAGTGATCGTGACAGACGATCATTAAGGGCAAATGTGACGAAAAATAAGAAGAAGCACAACTGCAAAAGTTACTGCTGAAATGAATGTTGTGTTACCGAACCCTGTGAGTACCAAAACAATTAGAAGGGAGCTTCATAAACAGGGAATTGCTGACCGTGCTGCAATTGAGAAGCCACTCATCAGTGATGCTAATGCCCGTAACAGAAAAAGGTGGTGTTTAAGTCATAAAGCCTGGACTATAGAGCAGTGGAAGCGAGTAATATGGTCTGAAGAGTCTTCTTTCACATTGTTTCCCACTTCTGGCCGAGTTTACATCTGGAGAACGCCATCTCAAGCCTATAATACAGACTGCTTGTTGCCAAGAGTGAAACATGGCGGGGGTTCTGTTATGGTTTGGGCAGCCATATCGCGGTTCTCTGCTAGCCCCATGATAACTGTGTCAGGGCACATGACTGCCAAGACTTATGTGAACATTTTGGCCGATCAAGTTCATCACATGGTCAAACTTTGTTCCCCGATGGTGATGGTGTCTTCCAAGACGACAAAGCCTCTGTTCACACAGCTCACATTGTCCAGGACTGGTTTTCTGAGCACGAGGATGAGTTGTTCCATCTCCCCTGGCCACCACAGTCACCAGACCTGAATATTATCGAAACTTTGTGGTCTACATTGGAACGGAAAGTGCGTTCTCGTTATTCACCGCCAACATCGTTATCTGAACTTGCCATCGTTTTGCAGGAAGAATGGTATAATATTCCCTTGGCAAACATACAGAAACTGTATTTATCCATTCCGAGAAGACTGCAAGGTGTTTTGAATGCCAACGAGTTTCCTACATCATATTAAGCAAAGAAACATGTTTTTTTAAAGGTGTTTCCATATTTTTGTCCAACCCCTGTACGATTCACATAACTGTATCTTTTACATTTCTACGGAAGTTATTTACTAAAATGCGTCCGGCGGCGCTTTGCAGGTTGAGTCAACCTTGCGTATGAAATCAAAAAAAAAAAAAAAAAAAGTGGTGGCTATTAGGAAACATTAAAATTACTTCAAACAAGATAAAATAATGGACCTTGACAAAGGTGTAATGTTTAGGAGTATGGTTGATATCTTTGATATTGTCTTTTCGACCGCAGCTTTATTGGTCTCATCCAACAAGTATTACTAAAACCTATTAGTCTGGGAAGTCGTCTGGGAAGCATATGCTGGACGAATGTGCAGAACCGCAGGTAAAGGAAGCTAGTACAGGGTGATCTTTTTTAAACTGACAGTGTTTGGAGCACCCTGTAGCGCGATCTAATAGCCGAAATGGCACTAAACTTGGTATTTAGACTAATCAGGACATGGGAAAAGGATCCCGTGAAAAACATTTTAGTTCCAAAAATCGCCGCTAGGGTATTTTGTGGCGCTGCTGTAGTTTACAATAATGAGAATTAGCATAAAACACGAGTATCAAAGAAAACTGCAAATGTTGTGCGATGACAACGCCAGTAATAGGGGCTATAAAAGCAAGTAGTAGACAGCTCCGACAAATAATCTCAACTGAAGTAAACTAGCTCTAGTGGACATGCCTCTCACGTTACCGGAACG